AACATATACATTACCTTCCTTCCTCTGACCCTTTCCCAAGGTTTTTTATCTGAATGTTAGGCAATGTCAAGATAATATGCGAAGTGTGAAGGAAAGGGGGAAAAAAGGTGGCATGTCAGTGAGTCAGCATCTGTCAGATGGTGTCTGGTGGCTTAAGGTTAAGTATACAAATTTCTGGGAAAATGAACACGCTGGATTTGATAGCTGGAGCCTTAGAGCCTGGTTTCCACCTGAACAAAATGTTTTTATTAGTAGCTCTAAATCTTTGGTGAGTTACAGCAGTCATGTATAAAACTGTCCAACAAGAACAAATTGTAGGCTGAAGGGAGGAGGATATGCACCCAGGAGCAGAAATACAAAAGAGGAAGGTAGAGGGAAGACTGCTGTTTCCTGAGCCGTGAGAAATGAGAACATGCAGAGGAACGTAGCCAAAAGAATTTGATGCCAAAATATTTTGCTACTTTTCTCTTACTCATCTTATATAGTGGAATTTCACAGTTATCTTTAGGAGAAAAAGTAAGTTATTCAACGTTCATCTGTTTCAGATCTCAGCGCCACTCATATAAGTCGGGAGCTGTTCCTTCAGCCAACCAATCAACTTCATACAGATAAACTGAGAAAGGAGTTTGGTCCTAGAATTGATGTTTCAGTTCCTGATTATAGATCTGAAGTCTCCCCTGAAAGTAAGATACATGTTTGGAGACTTATTCCCCCTTTACGCTTGTTTAGCCTCTTTGCGTTTATCAGTCCCTACCTTTTATTAGTTGTGAGTGTTATCATGTTTGAATGGTGGGGTAGTTCATTTTTTCAAAACCAAGAGGCTCAATCCCTAGCAGTACTGAGAGAATGAAGATTGCAAAGGGATAAAAGACTTCTTCCTTTTAAATAATCTTCTTTTCTTAAAAAAGCCTAATACAATAAAAGGCCTACAAGCTTAATCAATACAGCATTACTAAAATCATCTTTGAAAATTCTTTAGCACTTTTCACTGTACTCCTGTTTCTACTACTGTTCAAGTGATCTGCTTCAGTAATTGAGTAATAAAATAATTTCAAAAACATTGAGCCTTTTATTTTTTTGCGGGGGGGGGTGTTAAGATTACTATTTGACAAAAAAATATATTACAGTCTAAATCTGTTGGGATTTTTTTCAAGATCTTATGTTTTGGTTGTGCAGTAACTGGACTTCATTTTTATGGCATGACAGATTCCGTATTTTTTTTTATTTGATGTTAAAAATTACTAAAACACATGTCAGAAAACCACATTATCTGATGAAATTTTTTTTTTATTGATAGAGGTGAAGGGATCATATTCCGTTATTCTTTTTGGCGAAGAGTGGCTTCATGCTTTAATGCCAAGATGTTAAGAAAAATATTACAAGAGGATGCTTGCTGAAAATGTAAAACCAAATGATCATTTTCGTGTGTATGTTTGACTAATTTTCATGTTGAGTGACACTGCACTAGGGCCTGTGAACTCTCTTTCTGCTTTCCCCATGACAAACAAAAAGTTTAGAGGCGGCATTACAGTGAATGAGAAAGGGGGAGTTGTAGAAGAGCGCTCTTGAGTCTCAGGTGGTTAAAGAGGTTTTTATGCCATCTTTTCTCCTCACACATACTGTAGGGTTATAGCTGAAAGTTAGGAAGGTGGCTGAAGCATATCTTCATGCTCCAGCATACTGCAGTTGATGGAACAGCTTTACTAGGTGATAGACTTGCGAGTTTATGATGGGAAGCAGCCTTGCAGCCAGATGGTTCTGGGCATCTGTGTTTATGAGAAAGTGGCTTTAAGTCACTTTACCTCCTTTGGAGCTGTGCTGAATGCAGCGTAGATTCAGGCAGCTGTGTTTTCAGTGTCATCCTCCTTTTCTGTTCTGTGGCTTGCATCTCTCTTCTGTTTGCTTTGGTTCTTTTCTGTTCAATGTAAAGGCGAAGGGGTGGCTAATACTCCTGCCCTGGAGAATTACAGTGAATGAGAATATGTCTTCTGCCCCTTTGCAAGCTACTTAAGACTTAGATATGGGTCCCCAGGAAAAATGGATTATATTCCTGCTTATTCCATCCTTAGAACAGACAAGCAGGGTGTGTATAGATGTTTGGCTCCTGTTTTAATACTTCCTGGGATATATTTGATGCTGATATATATAAGCCTTTTCTCTTCCTTTTTAAGTAAGTTGAGTGCCTGTCTATGAAAGGTACATCAAGAGAGGCTGATAATTTGGTAATGAAAGTTCAGGCTGAGTCATGGTAACCCTAGCTAGCTTTGAAGTCAACAGCTTGGATGGTGGTAACAAAATGTGACTTTGCAGCATAGCTGGGAGTGGTTGGGTCCAGTGGTGTTCTCAGTATAAAACCAGTCTCTGGTATGAGGACACATATGATACAGTTCTGTAAAAGCATGAATGGCTTGGGGTGAGTGAATTAGGGAACAGTAATGCAGTGTGTCTTCTAGTGCCAGAACTAGGGAGCAGCAGATGAAGCCAGCAGGCAGGCAGATGACTGAAACTGATATCTTCACAGATAGGTCACAACAGATCACTGAAGTGGGAAATGCTTTTTTATAAGGTGTTGCAAATGCTAAACATTTATATGGGTTCAGAAAGCAACTGGCCAAATTCACAGAAGATGACTATTAAATACAAAGATACTAATCTGCTCAGGATTCTTTGTGCCGTGAAGTGCTGGATGATGGGAGAGCATACTGGGGAAGTATCACTGTATGCTTGTCCTGTTTTATACCCTTTCTAGGTGTCTGCTACTGGTTATTGTTGAAAACAGGATACTGATATATGAGGATGTTTGATGGGACCTGGTTCAGTAACCTTTTGCTCTTGTGCCTGTAGACAGTGCCTGTAGACAGTGCACTCAGATTTTGGATTGGAATGTAGATTTACTATCGGAAGCATATTTTGATGCACACTCTCACTTAAGACTGCTTTTTGTGTAGTATGCATTCAATAACACTCGTAGTTTGATGCTATGTATATGGTCTCAATGCAGCTTTCATGAAATAATTGAAAAATGGATGATCAAGTTGTACGGTAGCAGGACTGTATTCATATGTTGTATATATCATTGTATTTTCTTATTTCATTGTAAGTGTTAGGATTCCTTTTGTTTTCCTTTGTGTGATAAACATTGTAGATTGGTGAATAATAACTTTTTAACTGAGTGACGAGCCATATCTAAACCTCCGAATCTGTGTATTGGGAGAAAAAACAAAAGAAAAGGGCAGAAGCATTTCATCTCTTCGCAGTCTTTCTGGATGCAAAATGTAAAAGTCAAATTTAATGTCTAATGGTAGATTGGTAAACAGAATTATTGCCTGGATGGAGTAAATCCTCAAGTGTTCCACCCATTTTATTTTGCCACGTAACAATTCTGAAAGCAACTCTCAGAAGGACCAATACATGCAGCGTTTTTTAGTACTGCTTAGAATGCACATGTATATTTGTTGTTATTTATTTACCTCGTCCCACTTTTGTTTATTCCTATTTTAGCTTTTTAATTTGCAATTCAACTTCTTTAGCTTTGAAAGCTATTGAATATTTCACTGTGCCTTAAATGATGCTGTATTTTTAGACAAAATGGAAGCAGAGTCTGCTATAGGTGCAGCCTATATAATATTGTCTTTTTTCCAAGTTAGTCTCATGACATTGTTAAGACTCGGCATTGCATTTACAGAGTCAGTGTTCTCATTTAGCCTTCCTAGCCTGTGATTAAATGGGAGTTGCTGCTTGTTGTACTATGAGTTGGCTGACAAAAGCTAAATCTGTCACAGGTGCGACAATTTGTGTGTCAGAAAATTTGCTCTCCAAATACTAATTATTCCCAAAGTATCTTGCTTCACACAAAGCACAGATAACAGAGTCAGCAAATTTGTCCCAGTTTTATCATTGTGCTGTGAATTAGGGTTTGTCTCCTACCATTGTGTAAAGTGAAGACGGTAGAAATTCAAATGCAGGAGAACCCATTGATTTATGACCTCTGATGTATTTTTTCACTTAATTCTTCCAATCAAAATGTTTGAAATGTATGTTATTCAAATAATCATTGCTGAATTTCACTTCTGTAATTGAATGAGCTGTTGTCTAGGGACACAGGATGGTGGGAAACTAACAGTGTTGTCTCTCCAGATATCATTAAAAACTGGAAGCGTTTTGTGTCTGAAAGGCCCAGACCTAACCTGGTCATATGCTTAAACTATTAATTTGGGAAGCCAATTTAATATGATGGTAGCTTATCAGGAATTATCTTTCTGGTTGCTATGGGAGAAGAATGGACCCTCAGTCATTGAAACTGTGGCTGAATACGTGAAACCATTCAGTTTATAACCTCCACAGACTCTGAGTCACGTCTGTCATGAAAACACACATGTAGGTACCTGTGCACAAGCATGGAGTTGGGTTCATGTCACCCCTCTTCCACCGCTCCCTGTCGTGGAGAGCCTTTGTGATAACCTGTTACAGCCCCAGTTGCCAGTACAATGTATTTTGACATTGCAGCACCAGGATCTCCCTAGATAACAGTTTGTAGTTCAGGTAGGCTATTGCTCAGTTAAATCTTTTGTAACAAATCTAGCTGTCATCAGAGTGAGCAAATTTTTGACACTAGACACAGAATGACCTGCTAAAATAGCAACTGGAACTGTGTTTCAGCAGCTTCTCCTTTCATTGCCGAGAATTACCTAGGAACTGCTTCTGAGATTACACAAGTATTTTAAATGTATATTCAAAATATTTAGCTTATAAAGTGACTTACACAGAAAAGGAAGAGCACTGAATGCTGTAAATGAAATTTCTAGCAACAATTTTTGCATTGTAAACTAGCTTAAGAAACTGTTTATTTATTCCCTTAGGATGAACATATTGTATATTTCTAGATTTCTGCCAAATGCAAACATTGATGTGATTTAAATTCTAATAGCAGTGATTCACAACTCTAGTTGTTTGGCTTGTGTATAGTAATACTGATTTGTATTTTTATTTTATTTCTGTAGGACTATTTAACCATTCACAAGTATGGCAATGCAGCCAGAAATGATCTCTGGAACACATTGTCAAAGGTAAAATGCTTTAATCTATTGCACTGAGGGAGAAGTAGGAATTTACTGTGGTATTTTTCTTGGTGAGGTTAGGAGTGAATAGTGCTTATTGAGATCTTCAGATCCCAGAGCAAATATAAAAATTGATGCAAAGAAATTCCATTTGAGTTAACCTAGTGGCAACATTAAAATATGGGTTTTTTGCAACATTTCTATTCTTTGTTATGTTAGAATATGTTTCCTTGCTTGTGCTATGTCACTGATGTGCAGTAAATGATACTTCATGGAATCTGGTATACTTGACTTTAGTGGCAGCACGCTGAGGCCCATAAGCTGGAAAGCACATGAAAATGCTGAGCTTTGGCATTTACATCAGGTGTGTTTGTGATTTTGTATGGAGTTACGATTTGTGTGAAGGACAAAACTATTAAAGCTTTAAAGTTTGGTGTAAACAGATAACTATTTACTGTAATGTTTGGCATGCTGTAGAGACTTACAGTTGCTATGTTCATGCTCCCTTTGGTTGCTATGCCCAAGCTTAGCTTGAGTTTCTAAGAGCCCAGTCCAGGGATCTATAAGGTCAGAGTTTAATTTCCATGAAGTGAGCCAAGCATGCCTGAATTTCTCCTCTACAGAGCTAGTCTGGGCATTCCAGAATAAAGATAGAGTGCAAGCCAATGTAGAGTACAGTCAAGGATTTTGGGCACAGGTAGCAACTCAAGCCATGTGTAAACATGGTAATCTAGTTGTAACTATTGACACCAAAGCTGGGATTCAGCTGGAGGTCAAGACATCTGCATTTATCTAGACAGGCAGGTATATACATATAAGCTAGGTGTCCAAGCTCCAATTGTTGTCAATGAGGGCTGGATTCAGTTGCCTGTTCATAGACATTTAACAATGTTTACCTTAATTTATCCTACTTGGCTTCCAGCTGCCACATGAGATAAGTATGTCTGCTGTAGGTCCACCAGTTCTGCAAGGATGTGTTGAGTATTTTAGGACATCTCATTTGACACTTGGTGAATAGGAACAACTGGAGTCCCAGAAGTCTAGTCAATACAGTCAGCGGATCATAGAGAGTAATTCAGTTGACTAGCCACTACACGATTATTTTAAAATGAGCCCGAACCACTGACTGTTGACTAGGGACTTAAGACAGTTGTTCAAATATAGGCAACTAATGCCAGATTAGGTGCAGTAGGGTAGTCAGGACATTCAGGTGGGTGCAATCGATTTCACGCAAGATCTGTGGGGAAATCTGTACCCTTCTGGAGTGGCAGGTCAAGGTCAAATGACATTAGCCACCTATGTGTGGGCAACTGAACTGAGTCCTATGTCTGTACTGACTGTTAATGAGGGTTGAGATGTGTAACATACAGTCGGGCTCTTAAATACATGTCTTGATCTGAAGTTGAATGCCACTGCAAAAGTCTTTCTTGCTTCTCACCTGGTGTCTTCCTCTGTTAAAGCCTTTAGGACAGTTCTGGACGATGAGAGATCAGAGGGATGAATGTAGTCTTGAAAGAACAGCAGAAGCCACAGCTTATAAAACAGAACAAAAATGAGACTCTATTCTAGTCCATAACTACTACAGCTATCCTGCGTGCTCAGATCTATTGTTAAGGCTAATAATTCCGTTTGCTTCACCTGTAAGCACATTTGTTGCCAGCCGCTTTGTTCCAAAAGAATTGCAATTGCAGCTTCAGTTCTGAAGACTTCTTGCTGGGTTCTGCTTGTATACATCAGAGGTTGCTCAGTCTGTGATCTGGGACTGTTCAGCAGCTAGGGACATTTCCGTTGCTGAAGAACAAATGATGCCTGTCATTCTCCTCATACCCAGTCTCATCTCCCATGATGCCATAGTATCTCTTTTTGTTTCAGATAAAATCCACTTGTAAGACAGCATTTTTATTGACATACGGTATCAAATGTGAACACATTAATCCTCTGTGTGTTATGACAGGTGCAGTTTATGAAGGAGCTGGGGATATCTTTGTATACATGGCCTCACTTTGGACATGAGGGACAGTATTTTCAAATAACTAGTCATTTTATTTTCAGAACAGAAGAGCTCTGTACTTTTAGAAATCAGGCCCTTTGAATATGCCTTATTGTAGGTACCCTAGATCAACTAACACTGAGTCTTTTTTAACCTTAGCTAGTCAAGAATATCTTTTGCAGACAGTCACCCAGTATTTTTGTGGCTCTTGTTAAAACCCTGTAAAGCAGGTTGTTTCTTCTGTTACAGCAAAAGTGCATGAATGATGTGGGAAACATGAGTTTCTGACTGTCACTCTCCTCTCTGGCAAGATTGCTCAATGTTTATTTTTAAAATCTACAGAGACTCTTGGTTAAATTTTGTAGTATGTGTGTACTGGGTGTAAATGTGTGTGTGCATGTGTGATGGTTATTTAAACCTTTAGAACTAATTATGGTCTTTGGGACAAAAAAAAAAAAGAGTTTTGTATGTTGGATGATGATATTGCTTCAACATATTGAAACTTTTCTTTTTTCTTTAAGGCTTTAAAAAGGGTTGGAAAATCTGTAAATATCCAAGAAGTAATGGATCAGTGGACGCTACAGATGGGTTATCCTGTTATCACTATCTTGGGAAATGAAACTACAGACAATGTCATAGTGATCTCCCAAGCACGTTTTGTTTATGATAGTGATGCTAAACCCAAGGATCCTGCCCTTGGAGACAACAGGTACTTATATTTCTCAATAAAAATCTTTCAAAAGGCTGTAGTTGTTTAAGTGCTTCGTGTGTGTATTTTTATGAAGATGGCTATTTAGAAATCTCTGAGCTTTGCTTGGTATCAATAGTACATGGTGGCCCTTCCCTTTGAACGTAATAAAGATGAGGCTAGTTAAAAGAATTGAAAAAAGTAATTAGAGTAATAGAACAACACGATAAAACTTTTAATATGCCCATTTACATCCTGACAGTTTTCTCTGTGACTGCATCTTACGTCACACATCTGTTTCCTCTCCTTTTCTTTTGATTTTGTCACACTCCATGAAGTACTTTGGAATGTGGCTGGAAGGTCTGATACTTCTTTTTAAGTAACTCTTTAGAGGGGATCTCTCCATGCTCAAGCATCAAGTAGGCAGATGTAACCGTGTGTTGGGTATATACCTCACTTGGCTTGGGAAGCAGTCAAGCTAAACTGAACAGGCAGGGGGTTCTAGCTGTTCCAGTTTTGAAGCCAGCTGAACTGGTCCTTTGGGGTCTGTTTCAGTGGCTGAAATCAGCAAGCACGTACACGTTTTTCCATGTATTTTTCCTTCCTGCTCCCAGCTGACTCCACACACTTCCTTCATCCCAGAGACAAGCTGACATTCCTGGCTGATGCTGGGGAATCCTCATCTTATTGTTTAAAGCAGTTTTGGCATCATATTTTAAGGGCAAGGACATAGAGCTGATGCTAGAGAATTACAATTTAGCCTTAGAAGCTTCTGTGTTCACCTCTTCATGCTCAGTGGAAAAGAGGGCATGCTCTCAACCTTGAGTACTCTGTGCTTGTCCAGTAGATTTAAATCATTAAAAGGTAAAATTTAATACCAAATTTTGCTTGACATGTCTGGACCTTATAGAATATTCCTGTTGAGGAAGGCCTAAAAATATAGTTACATTTATTGGGAAATGTTTAGAAGTTCGTTATCCTTTTTTAGAACATGAATATTATGGAACTCAAACATGACACAGAGTAAATTGTTGGTTTTTTGGATGTATTGGAACAACCTAGCAGGGTATTAAGCATCTGTTTAAGTTCTGGGCTGAAATTAGTTCCTTTGTGAAAAAGAGATAAAACAAGAGAATGTGGACTGTTGGAAGTGTTCATGATTCACAGTTCAGTGCAGCGTGAGAGTGATTCTCCCTTATTCACTTGAAAATTTCTTTTGTGCAAGTGTATATATGCATAATGTAAGGTGAGTGGATTTTACTACTCAGAAAAAGAGAGATTATTAGTTTTTTGATTGATTAAAACAGAGATGTCAAGCCTTTTAAGTATTGTAGAGACTTTCTTAAATAGATTTGCTAGGTACTCAGTATTGATTGTAATAACTGCTACTGTAATTCATGAGCAAAGACTACTGGGTGCATAAATGTTTTGTAAGGTGGAACACCAGGGGTGAGAATAAGACTTAGTTTTATTTTCATGTGACATTAACTCAGAATTCAAACTGTATCTTGAGATATGTGGAAGGATAGTGTTGTGCACCAACAGGCCAAGTTATGCTGAATTTCTTAGGAGATTTTGTCTACATATTTTACCACAATTATAATTTCTAAACATGGGAAGTAAGATTTAGTGCTATAGGCAGCACCAAAGAAGATATCAGCATGGGCCCTGCCAGGAACTTACTGTCCTAACAGGCAGTACAATGCATACTATATGTATCTCCTGTGGCAAGTATCTCTCCCGTTCTTTTTTCCCCCTTCAGATTTGTTTTTCTCTGTGCTTCCATGTCCTTTTAACCACAAATGGGAAGGAAGCCCCTTGCCCAAGGAGGGCTTTACGGATGGGATCTTTACTCCAGCCAGTTAGATGATGGAGCTAGTTTGCTGCTTCCCAGTTAAAGTTATTTGAAAGTCATATTATGGAGGTATAAATACCAAACAACAGGAACGATATACATTTAGCAAAAGGTGAAACTTGCCTATGCCATTCACCTTTCAAAAGTCATCCACCAATTTATATTAAAGTCCTATGGCTTAGTTATAAATTAATGTCTAGAGTGTTGTAACAATGGCCGTGCAATTCATTGGTGCACTGCCCACAGGCACATGTGGCTTGGTATGCACAATGGCTCTGTGTCATTACGTGTCCTTTCATACCATCAAATTAAGTAGAAAAACAAGATTGGCATACTGAAAATAAATTTACTCTTTCTGTCAGCAATGACCTAGATCTTTTTCAGGTTTTTTTTGTGGGTTTTTCTAATTGGAAAAGTCACTATTGCTTCAATTATTGTGAAAGCAGTATACAGGGAAAATCACATTAATGTGATGTCATTTGGTAGTTCATGATAATTTACCTTGGTTTTTAACATTGCAAGAGCTGAAGTTTGTACGACATGATACAACGGGGCCAGTTTTTCTACAAGTACACAAAGAGGGGTGATAACTGGAATGGAAACAGCATGTTGACAGACGTTCAGCACTATTGCAAAATGCAGTGTTCTGGCTGATTCTGCAGGTGGCTTTGGTCAGGAAGTTGGCAAGGGTTTACTAATGTTCAGTGGGTCCTGATAGCACAGGTAGATGTTGTGGGAGGCATACATGTAGAGGTATATATACACACATATATAATGTCAGCCTGCAGGCTTTGGGAGTGTTACCTATCAGTGGCCTAATTCACAGTCCAATAAAATTGGTGCTCATCTCCCCTGCATGACCCATGAATTAGGCATTGGACACATAGCTCCCTGGGGAACCATAATAGGCACTGTAAATAATGGGGAGCAAATGGTATTTATGCCACATGTGAGACCATGCTCTTGCAGGGCAGGCAACATTGGCTTCCTTAGGGTAGTTTATCTATGGATTAATCGTGATGATCATTTTAAACACCGTAAAGAGTAGAGCTGCACAAAACACAGAAAAATGTACAGGTCCAGGCCTTTCCAGGAGTTTATCATCTAAACAGACAACATGATATGCACTGCATGGCTCTGGGGAAGGCTCTTAAAGCATCCATCTGCCATATAGTCTTTAGTTATCCAGAGGTGGGGCTGTAGTTCTGCATGGCACAGCAATAAACGTCAGTTCTGTTGCCTTCAAAGTGATGAGGAGTTTAAACTTCTGGTTCAGACCCTCTCTAGGCAAATTTAACTTTGCCTTACTTTAGAAAAAGTCACTTCAGAGTAGGTCTTTCAGACGTATCTGCTGCATAAGAAATGTAAATAAAAAGGCAACTGAATATTTCAGAACCATTCTAGTTTTATAAAATGTCTGTGCTTTTCTTTATGCTATGTATTTATGCAGCAATTAACTGTTAAAAATGAAATGTGAAGCAGCAGATTTAATTTTTCTCTCTGAAATCATATAGAGGAATATAGAAGCAGCAAGCAGATTTTTCTAAGTGATAAACGGTAAAAGTGAAAATTGTTGATAGTTTGGCAGTGGTTTACTCCTAGTTCTGCCTAGTCCATTACTATAAGTGTCTTTAATTCTACTGCAGAAGAGAATGATTACATATAGTTGATTTTCCCATCTCATGTACAGTTGGACTCCTTGTCTCTATAACTGCAGAAAAATGTGTTTCAAGGACCATACATATATAAACTGTGATTTGTGTGCATAGAATTGACTGTATGGCACGCTAAGCTCTAACATTTGGCCTGAAATTATAGAAGGTATACAATTTCACTTCTTTGCAAACTGAACATAGATTTCACTTGACACTTATGCCTTTGCATGATCCATAGTTCTCATTTTATGAGAGAATAAAACTAGCAATGACAGACACCATTTCTAGGAACGCCATTCTTCAGAAGGGCCAAAATCACCGGCTTTGATTTGAATGTCGAAGCCTGTGGTTGGTACAATGTTTCAGTAGCAATTTCAGCTTATCCAAGCAAAAGTTTAAAACTCCTGTAATAACTGCGTAATTCATATTCTTCCCTCGAATAACAATCCTTTAGTTATGTGTAGGTTCAATCTTGGACTCCTGTATATTCCTGTGAGAACGGATTATGCCCTTACATTATAAGGCTACAGGGGAGGAGGTGATATTCCATCTGATAGGGTTCAGTGGGTTTCCCTGCTGACAGAGAAAATGATGATTTTAAGGCACCAGCCTCATCCATCATTACAAGAATGGCTCACAGATATGACAAGAAATCTTATGAAAAATAATTTGTGGTCTAGACAATAAACTAATCAGTTTTGATGAAATCCATAAACCTTTTATATACTATATTGAAGAACAGACCAAAGCTTTCTTTGCCTTTTAAAAATATACAGAGCTTGTCTCTTCAAAAGTGGAGAAATAACCTTTCCAATGTTATCAAAATAATTAAGTTCATGTTGCTGAGGTAATATTCATTTGTATAGTGTTCTTATCATGCACGCGGTTTCCATAGCTGATCTTTGCTTGTTCATGATAATATCCTAAAGGGAAATGTCTTGCTAGGCATTGAACACAGCTAGCTGTGAGGAAAGAGAAAAAAGGAAGAGGTACAAATTGGGATACGAACAGGGTATTCATACATGCTGTAGTGTGGTAATCCTCAGTGCCTTTCTCTGTGTGACTGGACTAGGGAAAATTCAGTTGAATGGTGCAAGCCAGGGACATGACCAGCAAAACTGGAGCTGTACAGACTCATGGGTCTAACACCATGTAGTAATTACGACAACTGAAAGGCTTTACAACGGGCAGCAGAGCTGCCCAGCAGTCACTCCACTCCAAGATGAATGATAACTGCAGAATTTTTTCCCTTCAAGTCTCTTCTGAATTTCCTACACAAAGCTCATTTATTCAGGCTTTGCGGAAAAAGGCCTGTGCTTGTCCCTTTACTGATAATTATTTGAATAGTAAAAGCATAGCTGTGTTTGGATATTGCCATGTGTATTCTTACTTATTTGTATGGCATTATCAGTTGAGCAGCAATGGGAAACTTTGTCCACTTATCAGCTGAGAGGCTGGTTAGACACAAACCAAAATGTTATGAGCACAGAGGGAATGCTGATAAGTATCTT